CTTTAACCTGAAGTCCATGAACCCCCTGAGGATGAAGCCATGTGCATATTTATATTTCATTATATCCCCAAAATGCTAAGAACCACTGGCTGGTCTGTGTCTTTGTTGTCTTCCTAAAGCTTTTAAAGAACCCCCAATACAGTGGTCTCCTAAATGTTTTCCACATGGACCACTGCCCAGACCAGACACAGGTTCACCACATAACAAGAACCTTAACATTTTTGCTCCTCAGTTTCCTTGTCTAAAAAAATGCAGCCAATAAATAGTTCCGTGTCTCCTGTTTAAAGCACGTGCTGAGGCTAAACAAGGAGGTGGAATCAGGTGGCCTCTCAGATCCCTTCTGGCCCAGGGGGCTTGTGAACCACAGCCCCTCCCTGAATCTACACCCTGATTCAGACTCCGTGTGTGCATGACACGGGGGAAGGGAAGGGAGAGGTGTGGCAGGCTCTCCCCCAGGACTCCGTGAGCTCTGCAGAGGCACCTGCTTCCCAGCAAACGGGACAAGCCACATTCTGCACCATTCAGCTTTATCGGGGCCATTGCCCTGTAATATGCAGATGAGTGAATCAGAGGAGTCTAGAAACATTTACGATCTGAACAAAGGAGATAGTTGTTTGATGAGAATGGGGGAAAAAATGTCCTGCACACAACAGAGTCTCTTCTGCTGACCCTGTCTAATTATGCCCTGGCTCCCAATAATGACAGCTCCAGAAGTCTAAAATCTTAACTCTCAAATGGCATTCAATCAGATTAGCCCCAATCTTGCTGGAGGGCTGGGGATGGTCAGAGGAACTACTCAGTCACCTTATCTCAAGATTTGAGGTGGGGCAATCTTCCCAAAGCTGTCCAAGCCATGGCCCCAGGTACCAGGCCACTAAAGTTGATTTGCACCCAGGAAAACATGAGCCACCTAAAGTCACTCAGCCTCCTGGCTGGGCCACTGCCACATGCACAGCACAGAAGACCGGGTATTCCTGTGGGCATATTATAAACTAATCAAGGAGTAAGTGCCCACACACACACATACATCCACACGCTACAAAGTCATATAGATACCCAGGCTAATCATCCCTGATCACATTTATAGTATCACAGAATGTCACAGCTGGACTTTACCTGACTGAAAGTCTAACTTTCCTATTTTAAAGATGATGAAACTGAGACCAGAAAGGGTCAGGGATTTGCCTGAAGTCACACATCTCGTTAGAGACAGAGCCGGGCACCCTGGGTCTCTGTGCAGTACATTGTGATCACAGTAGGCAGAAAAGTACATAAAACAAGGAGAACTGGAGAAGAATCAAGGATGCCTTCATGGAGGAGGTGAATCACAAACCGATTCAGATTTCACTAACATTCCCTAAGTAGTTTGATGGCCCTAAGTGTAGGAGGATACATTCTCTAATTTATTCCTCACAAGAAATCTGTGAAATAATATTCTCCCTTCTCAACAAGAGGAAATTGAGGCTGTGAGAGGCTAAGTCATCTATCCAATGTTGTACATTCTCTATGTCTGCGGTCCCCAACCCCGATCCACCCACGGACCAATCTGCAGAGCTCTGCCCCTCCCCTACCCCAGCGGAAAAATTGTCTTCCATGAAACTTAGGAACAGGGGGCTGCACAGCAGGAGGTGGCCAGCAGGCAATTGAGCGAAGCTTCATCTGTATTTACAGCCACTCCCCATCGCTCACATCAGTGCCTGAGATCCCCCTAACCCCCATTCATAGAAAAATTATCTTCCATGAAACCAGTCCCTGGTACCAAAAAGGTTGGGGACCACTGCTCTATGTGACAGTCAACCCCAGGTGGATGGGATCCTGAGTTCAGTTCCTTTTCTGTGCATCTCAGTGCCTCTTTTACCAAGAGCTAGGCTGTGATTGAGGGTGCTGACATGACAAGTAGGAATGTATTAAATTTAAACAAGGGAAGGCTGAGATTTCACTTCTCCATCAGAGACTCCCCTCCTCCAGGGTTCTCAAGAGCTTCAGACACTGGGAATGTGTATTAGATTTCTACTGCTGCTGTAACAAGTTACCACAAATTTAGTGACTTAAAACAACAAACATGTATTATAGTATAGTTCTGGAGGTCAGAAATCTGACATGGGTCTCACTGGACTAAAAGTACCAGCAAGGCTGCATCTCTTCCTGGAGGCTCTGTGGGAGAATCCGTTTCCTTGCCTTTTCCAGCTTCTAGAGAACTTGCCCTCATTGCTGGCTCAGGGTCTCCTTCCATATTCAAAGCCAGCAATGGCCAGTCAAGTCTCTCTCACATCACATCACTCTGACACTGATTCTTCTTCTCCACTTTTAAGAAGCCTCGTGATTATATTGGTCCCACCTGGATAATCCAGGATCTTCTCCCTATTTTAAGGTCAACTGATTAGCACCTTTGATTCCATGCACTACCTTCATTTGCTTTTGCCTAATAACCTAACATATTCACAAATTCTATGGATTAGGTTGTGGACCTCTTTGGGAGGCCATTGTTCTGCTTACCACAGAAGGACTTTGAGGTCAATTTCAAGAATGCTCCACTGTCATGAATCAACTCAATGATGGGCAGGGAGTCCTTTGAGAGGAACCAAAGTCTGGGCTGTCCTAACTGGGCTCACCCGCTCCGTGAAAACATGACTTGGTCTCCCCATTGTTCTGCATGTACCTATTTAGTCTCTTTGTCCCTGGGCTTAACCAAAGCCACAGAAATGCATGTGGCATGAGCAAGATCACCTCTTGCATTCTGTTGCAGGAAACTTCTGGAAATCTCAACCAACCAGGTCTCCTCCCTAGTCTCTTACCTTTTCCTTTCCTTAGTCAGCCTCAGTCTGTCCTTTCGTCTCACTTGGATCTCTGTACTTCAACAGCCTCCTAGCAAGGATTTCTTCCTCAAGACTTCCTGGAACGCCCCTGCCCTCCTTGCCTGAGTAATCCCCACTGTCCAGTAAGATGCAGCACAGACACCTCCTCCCCCAGGAGCCTTCCACGACCTTTCACCCAAGACCAGTGAGGGGCCCTCCTTCTGGGATGTGGGGGCTTGCCAGCCCCCATCTTCTCTGTGAGACCATGAGCCACTGTATAAGGGAGGGGGCCTGACACCACATGGGGGCCATGAATGCCTGAAAGAATAAATTAATAAACTCAGTGGTGACAAATTCCTGCCTCCTAGTACATAGGAGGGTTGCTTTGTCTCTTAAACAGCATTCCACAGAAAAGAGGAAGGAGACAAGGAGGGAGAGCAGAAATGGAAGGAGGAGAAATGGAAGGAGGAGAAGTAAAAAGAGGATAAAAAGAATGAACAAGAGGAGCAGAGCCTCCCTGTCCTGTGTCCAATCACCCAGCTCCCAGACTTCCCAAATGACTTTGTCTCCCCAGACATACCTATGGGGATTCCAAAACCCTCGCCACCAGCCTCTGTCTCCTACCAGGACACCACTGGCACCCATGCTGGGTTTACATCAGTCCTCCACACACCAGTCTTAAAGGCTGAAAATGCCACCTGGTCTCCCCAGCTCACCTTTTAAAAACTTTTCAGGTATCACACATCCAAAGCTACATAAACATTTGAAGGTATCTCTGATTTTAGCCAAATACCTTTCTTAGGAAATGACCTAAACCTACCTTTTCAAGTTAAGGGGAGGGAGGGGGAATCACCACTTAAAGTCCCTGGAATTTGGTCACCATTAGCAAACAAACAAAAAGCCACCACTTATTGGACTGGGAGCTTCTTTCAATATGAATATTTTCCCATTTTCAATTAAATGAGCTCTCCCTCTCTTCCCAGCTATCTCCCTCATCCACTGTCTTCATCCCTTCATTAGTGCATCTAGTCCACCAATAATCATTTATCTGCTATCATCTTCCACTTACTATATCTATGGCATAGCCCCTACCTGCTAGGAACTTACAACCCAGGAGAATAATAAGATCTTGTACATAAATAACTGCAAGTCCTAATAGCAACAGTAAATGTCATATAAATAGCGCAAACAATAGATACCATGGGAGTTCATAAACAAGTGGATTCATTTCCAGTTTAGAACAACCAGGAAAGGCTCTCAGAAGGTGGCAGATTTGAGTGGAGCGTTAAAAATGCTTAGGATTTCAACAGGCACAGGGTGCGCACACCAGATAAAAGTGACAGCCCAAACTAAGACAGAGAGGTAGGGAAAACTGGGTGTGTTTGCTTTGAAACTTTTCCTTTCATCCCTGGCTTTTATTGAGTCCTAAGAGAAGATTTTCTAGAAGGCAAGGAGACAGGCTAACTTTGATCCAGCCTGTTCTTGGTCACTATGAAAACTCTGTGAGTAACTCCATTTTCAGAAGGGTGTCATAACCAAGGTTGAGAAGATGAAGATTGCCTGCCTTCTCCCTCCTCTCTCTTCTCCTCCATCTCACTTCATTGCCCAAGAGTGACAAATGACTCCAACTTCCCTCAAGACCACCATGCAGGAAAATCGTTCTATCCAGGAGGCTGAAGGCCTTGGTTTGCTCGGGACCACAGGATGAGCCATCTTCCTGTGTCTGGAAATGTGACCTTCCAGGCTCGAGGAAGAGGCATCCAGTGGAAATGTCTGAAACAGGCCATCCAAGCCTTGACCCAGACAGACCCCAGGCCTCAGGCAAAAAGTCTTCCCACTGGCAAAGACAAGGTGAGCACAGTGGATCTTATCTCTCTCCACATCCTGAACCAGTTTGGGCAGACAAGGAACCCCAACCATGGTTTAACAGACTGAGATAACGTTTTATGAACATTCCCTTCCTGCTGCCTCTGATGAGAGAGACCTGAAAGGAGCCCCTCCCTGCTGAGGTCTGGTGAAGACCCAGAGGCCAAAATGCAGTCTGACTAACAGGCATCCCAAGCAGTGACTCAGACCATCGACAATTTCAGAGGAAGCTCGTTATGGTGACTCCACAATTAGGACCTCGGCCCACGTGGCCAGTTAGTCCTGTGGGAGGCTGGACCAAGCACTATATAAAAGTCTCCACCTCTCTGGGCTCCACAATCCACGTCCTTTGTCGAATGTTGTTGAAGATCAGGTAAGTGGGAACATCTGTGCCCTCCCTCCCTGTTGCTCTGGCTTTAGGAGGCCACTGTCCTGTTCTTGCCAAGACTGTACTTTCTACTGATTTTTAAGTAGTTTGTCATTTCTTGGGCCTCTCAAACCGTCCTGTGCACTCTACCTAGTCTCTTGCACCTGATTTTCAAAAGGATTAGTCAAACAGAAGAGAAGGAGAAGACCTATGGTAAGACTGGGGTCTGGGGCTACAGCTATGCAGACAAAGGCCTTGAGAATGTTCCCACCCAGGAGACAGGTGTCAGAGGGAGGCACAGTAGGGACGGAAAACAGAAAAGAATAAAAAGCAGCAGAGAAATGAGTTCTTAGACTTTAACAATCACTCACTCCCTCTTCCCCTCTCTCAACCCTTCATCCTCCAGTTCCCAGCCTGGCACTTTTAATGTAGATAATTTCAAATCTTGTGTTTGTTTCAGATTCTGCAAATCATCCCAGCATGTCCTTTAATGAGCAGCAGTGCAAGCAGCCATGCGTGCCCCCTCCATGCCTCCAAAAGGCCCAAGAGCAGTGCCAGGCGAAGGCTGAGGAGCTGTGCCTCCCCACGTGCCAGGACCCCTGCCAGGAGAAGGGCCCGGTGCAAGCTCAGGAAGTATGTCTTCCTCAGTGCCAGGAGCTAAGTCAAGAAAACTGTCCACAGCAAAGCCAAGATCCATGCCTACCTCAGTGCCAAGACCAATGTCCACCTCAGTGCGTAGAGCCATGCCAGGAGCCGTTCCAGACAAAATGTGTGGAGGTTTTCCCACAGAAAGTCCAGGAGAAGTGCTCACCCCCTGGCAAGGGAAAGTAGCTGCTCATGTGCCATCTGGGGTCAAGAAGATGGCCAATAGATGACACCTCAACCCCAGCCCACGCTCTGGTGACCTTCTTCTGCGGGTAGCTCTGTATGCAATGCGCCTTCTTGCCTCCTGGCTTCCTCAGTATTCCAGACTTGGTCTGTATCTCTAAAGACAGTTCTCCCTGTATGTCACCAACCTCCGTGAGTAAGAGTTGTTCTCAGCAGTCTGATGGAAGATCTTAAATGGAGGAATGGTGTGATTGCCAGGGGAGACCACAGGAGCCCAGCACAGCTGCCTTGGGACAAAAATTCACCCAGCCCTGAGTGTGTAACAGCCATGGATGCCTTCATTCACCTTTCAGAGTGTCAGGCTCTCATTCAAGCCTCAAACAAACCGAATTTTGATGGACTTTCCACTTATCACCACAAGTACCACCACTAGTATTGAGAAGAGGTTGGTGGTGTTGCAAAAGTCAAAAATTGAGTCATTTCATCTCTGCATCCTAAAAAGAACAGCAAATGATTAGACATTGAAATGTTGGTTATGCCTTTAAAAAGTGAACCAAAATTATGTAAATGATTGAATCTAGACAACCAATAAGGAAAGATGAGATGGATGTTGGGGTCCTTGTTAATCTTTGTGCTTCATAGCTGGTCTGCTGTGGTCCCCTAGTTTTCACCATGTATACTCCTTAGAGACGTGATCTGTGTCTGTGTGATGCAGGCTGGTCTGTTCTCCAGCTTTCTTGCCTTCTTCTCCCTGGTGAAGATAAAACACATAATAAAGCTGATCCTAAGGTGAATATCTGACTTGATGGGTGCTCTTTTCTCCCCACCACCAAACCACCTGCTGTCTTTGTGACGACTGTCTTCTCCTTTTGGGAGGGTCAGGGGGAGGACATAGAGCAGGAATGAAAAACAGACCTCACAGGTGCGTAGAACAGCAAGGCTGAAAGAGGCCTCCTTAAGGTCACCTGGACCACATCATATCACAGGTTCACCATGCACAACACTTGACACAGGAGAAAATCCAGGGGCTGGGACCTGCACACACTCAAAACTTCAGGTCCAGGGATCTTTCCACCATAGCCACTTTCCTCTCTGACCTTTGCTTTCCAGAGGAAAGGGCTGGAATGGGGAGGAGGAGAGTTGTGGGAAAGAGGGATCCCAAATCAACCCATGACGGCTACAAGCGTAGCATCTGTGTCAGAAGGAAGAACTAAGTATGTCTGTGAGATGAACACAGACTCCAGGACCAAAATTGTCTGCCTTGCCATCTGGCCTGGTTTCAGGAAAGCCACGTAGCCTGGGTAACCGCCAGCATCCTGTTGCCCCTCCCCTCATGAAGGAAACACAGGCTGTGGCCTCTGGGGGCTGTGAAAGGACTGAGGAGGCACAGGACTGGCACGCAAGAGCCAAAGCCGGCTTCCCCGGCAGTCTCTGAGGTCTGACCTGGGCCCAGAGGACGCTGTGGCAAGGGTCAGCCTCTGGAGGGGGTAGAGGGGTCCTTACCCATTGCCCTGGTCCCCCTCCCTCCTCAGTGTGTGTGACGAGGAGGAGGGCCAGGACAGCCCCTCCCTGAAGGCCATATGGAACCCCAAGTCTTAGCCGTTGGCTGAAATGAGGGTCTTCCCCGACTAGGATTGCCCCAACCTCTCAATCTTAGAGACTTTCTACGGTGAGAGAGAACTGAGGGATGATTTGGGGGGATATTTCAAGAAGCAACCTGGAGCCAACACACACTCACTGAGTCTGCAGGTGGCATGGGCCCAGCCCTGAGCTTCATGCCCATTCTCTAAGGGGGTCCTGACAGCAGCCTCAGGGAGCTGCTGCCCCTTTGTTTAGGAACTGGACTGTCCTCATAAAGCCAGTAAGTGGTGAAGTCAGGATTCTAACCCAAGTCCCTCTGACTCCAGAACTGAGCTCTTACTTGCATAACCGAAGTGCCAGGGCACACTGAAGAGATTTCCAGAAGCTGTTTTCTCATTCATTCATTCATTCATCTCTAACAAATGCTCTCTGATCACCTACAAGGTGCCAGGTGAACCAGGAAGTCAGTGTCCCTGCACAGAGCTTAGGAGCTGTCTTTTCTGCAGGCTGCATGCACCAAGGGCGCCTTTCTGAAAATCTCCTGAGTGGCTCAAGTCCCTGAACATCTCCATATGCCTGAATCACCATTCTCTTGCCTCCCCGCCTGGTTGAAATAAGTTTCTCATTCTTTTTCCAACCTTGGAATAAACCAGCTGCTACCCAGGGCCCAGCTACTCCCTAGGGTCCCAACTGCTCCCCAGGGACCAGCTGCTCCCCAGAGCCCCAGCCTGCAGAGAGGCCCTTCTGTCAGTGAAACTTCTGATCGGGCTGAGGGAGACTCACAGACCCGTCTCCAGCTTGGCTCAAGCCCAAGAAATGTCTTTGTTCTCCAACTCTAAAGGCGTGCACAGATTGGAGTCCAAGATCAGACAGCCAGGTGCTGAGAAGAAGCATGAGACGAATGAGCAGGGAGAGCCCAGGGTACCAGAGAGAGGAACAATGCGCTGATTACAGGGCAGGCCTCGGCAGATGGGAAGGGGACAAGCTTGCAGATCACAGATACGGGAGCAGACATCCAGCAGCCAGCAGGCTCTCATCTAGCGTATCTCCTCGAGTCTAGAGAATAAAATACCCAAGGGAGCAGGACGGCTGTCCTCAAATATTTTAAGTGCTTATATGAGGGAGGGTTGAGATTTCTGTGAAGTACCAAAGGACAGAGTTGGGACCCACGGGCAGAAGTTATGTATTTTGGCTCAGTTTAAGAAATTTCCTATAACAAAATCTATTGGATGGTAGCAGGAGCTTTCTCTGGACACGTTGTGTCCCATGAACTAGAGGTAGGAGTGCAAGTGAGGAGGTGACAACCAGCTCCTCCCAACCCATCTAACTCTAACTCCTGGGCAGAAGTGGGCCCGGGGACAAGGAGCATCCCAGGGAAAGGAGATCCAGAAGACCTGACCTCTAGGTCAGGAGACAGGAAGTTTCGCTGGCTTCCAGAACACTCCTGAAAGGTTCTTTGGGTGGCCCAGACTCCTGGGGACTAGGAGAGCATGACCACAGCTTGAAATAAAGAAAAGGAGGAGGACAAGTAAGTGATGGGAGGTGGCTCCCCCAGGTATGAAGTTTTCTTAGTAAGCTTTTGGGCCCACAAATGCCTCAGCCTTGAGTAGCGCCTTATAGCAATTCCTCACTGCCCTCCAATCCCAGCTGGGGCTTAGCCTCTCTCCCCTTTATTCCTCCTTTCTTTCCATCTAGACCTCCTTCCTCTCCTGCACCCAAATGATCCAACTGCTCTTCCACCTGACAACCCATCACAGCCTCCTTTCTGCCTGCACCTGCCTGCCTCCAACCCAGGATTCTCCTGTTTATGCCTGTGAATCCACAGGTTACAAACTGGCCTCCTCCAGGAAGCCCTCCATGATGTCAAGCCCATTTCCTAAGTACTGCACCATGGGCTTGGTGCTGCACTGTCCAAACAGCACTGCACTGGTCCTGGGGGTCTGTGGCCCTGTTACAGCTGCCTACATGTGAAGGACACATGTTTCCTGTCAGCATGAGAGCCCCGGATGACAGCTTCTGGGCCTTGCCATGCTCTTGCCTGACTTCACAGGCCCACCACACTGAGGTCTGAGACACCTCACAGTCGGCCAACCAGCATGCCCCAGGGGCAGGGACAAAGGAGGGTGCTGGGCTCTGGAGTCACCTGGAAGGCGTCTTCTATTGATAGGGTGACCAGCTCATCTTGTTTTGACTGGGACTGAAACACTGAAAGTCCTCAATTCTGGGAACCCCCTCGGTCCCACATAAACGTGGATGGTTGGTTGCCCTAATTGAGTACCTACGTGTATAAGACATGCTGCTTGGTGCTGGAGGAATTAACAGCCCAAGGGACTGTTCTGGAAAACTGTAAGCCCAGAAGACTTAGTGCCTACTGCCTGACCCCTCCCTAGCCCCATTCTTCATGGTGTGTGTGTGTGTGTGTGTGTGTGTGTGTGTGTGTGTGTGTGTGTGTGTGTGTTAGGGGATACTAGATCAGCAGGTGGGTGCCCAGGCTAGCCCTGTATAAACATGAACTGGCGGTCCTGACCCAGACAGTAGCGTAGGGGGGGATATCTCCCCACACCCGGCCCCACTGCCATCATTAACCACAGGACACCTGGGCCCACGGGCAGCTGGTCTGGTCTCACCCACACCTGCTCTTCCTCCTCTCCCACAGACACCTACCTCACACCTGGAGATGGTTGGAAGACGAGGCGGCAGGCTGGCAGGGAGCTTCTCAGATCAATCTCCCCACCAAGAAGCCCCTGGGGACTCCTTTTCTCTTCCCAACAGCACCACCTACTGGCCTTCTGCAGACCATGCCCAGGCCAGCCTATGCCAGAGAGCCGCACACACTGGGGCCTGGACAACGCTGGGGGGGCGGAGGCAAGGCCGGAGAGATGTAGCATCTAGTAAAGTAGGGAAGAAGGATATATGTGCAAGACAAAGTTAATTACTCATGGAGTGGGAGCAACACGCATGATGGATGGTTCTGGACATAGGCTCAGCAATCAGACCGCCGGGATTCAAATCTAGCCTCCACCACTTCTACTCTTTCCTTAAAAAGATTTACTCAGAGACTTCTACGTGCCAAGCCCTGTTCCAAGCACTGGAGATACGGTGGTGAACCAGATACACAAAGTCACTGCCTTCCCGGAGCTCACGTTATGGGGGAAGACAGACAAAAAGCAACGCAGCAAATGCATAAACAAGAAAGTGAAGAAAATAAAACAGGGTGATGAGAGAGTGACAGGTAGGAGGGATGCTCCTTAGCTTGGGTAGCCTGGAAAGGCCTATCTGAGAAGGGGCGTCCGAGTGGGAATGAACTATAGGAGAGAGCCAGCCACGTGGGATCAGGGTGCGCATTAGCGCCAGGAGAACAGCAACTTCAAGGGAGGTCGCAGGTCAGATTGCCTCCCGCGCCTCATTTCGGACCCTGAGTTTGAAGGTGAACGCTGACCAACTTTGAGTCCCTCTAAGTGAATGTGAGGCGCCTTGTGGTGTCGGCCGTGGCTGAAGGGTGGGGGCATTTCATCCAGAGATACGGAGACTTAGGGGTACACAATGGCTGTCTTTAGACCTTTCAAATGCCAAAGAGAGAGGCAGTGGATTTATTCCTTGTGATCCCAAAAGATCTTGCATGGATCAATGAGTTCAGGGCACAGAAAAGCAGACTTCTGCTCATATCAGGAATAAAACGGCCCAGCAAATGAAATGGGCTGCTCATGCAGCAGTGAGTTCACCATAACTTAAAGTATGCAAGCAGAGGCCAAATGACTAGCTTAGAAGTTTATGGGGAATTTGGACTACGTTTGTTTTAAAATCTGGTAAGTCCAACCTACACTCGCACCTGAATTGCTTGCAGGTTACCACAAGGCTTTGTTTCTCTCTGAATGCAGTGACACAGCCTTTGTAAGCCAGTCGCAGAAGGAACATCTGCCTCAGGGCCCCAGGTCAGGAACATCACAACAGGGCAGGAGAAAATCGAGCCAACCCTATGGGGTGAGGTTAGCACCCAGAGAATAGCAACTTTGAGGGAGGTCACAGGTCAGATTGCCTCTGGTGTCTCTGGGTACACAACAAGCTTCTTGTCAGCCTCACTCAGGGCAGACCCTGGCAAAGGTGAAAAGCGAAGGTCCTCACGTCCCTTGCACCTGCTCCCCACTCCCTCTCCCCTGCTAAAGCACCAGCAGACAGAACTTCCTCCCCACACCGTGGTCCGAGAAAAAACTAGTCTGAAC